GAGCAGTCTGAATGCCAAAATGAAGAAAGAAAGGGATGGATTATAATACATTTAATAAGAAGAAAAACAGAATTCATGAAGTGATAGTGATACTAAACAGAAAAAAAGTTCAAAAAAAGAGGGGAAAGAAAGGAAAGCTATTTTTTTCAATACTTCATTTAGGAAAACTCTTCTTTGTAGGACAACTCCAACTAATAAAAGTGGAAGAAATAGTGGAAATAGAAATTTACCATTTTATAACCATCATTGTAATAATTGATTTAGGTAAAAGTCAATAGATGCTGAAACTATGAAGTGAAAGCCTGTTGAGAAATAGGATATTCATGGTTCCAAAATCTAACTGCAGAAATTACTTACAAGGGGAAAAGGAATACTTACCAGGGAGAAATCTGGTGGAAGCCACCTGAATCTGGTGATGAATGCTCACATTAGGAACACACCATCATTCCTGTTCTAATCCTGCCAAAAATGAGAGCAGTCAGATTAACTCAAACTGAATGATATGTGTTGAGGGGAAGACTCCAACTGGGCACTTTAAAAAAACAGCAAAGAAAACCACTCTAGAACAAAGGAGGCTAGAGAGACATGACACTGGTGTGACCCTTGGTTCTTGATTGGATCTCGCATCAGAAACAGCTACCAAAAATATTATTGGAGTGACTCAAGAAATTTCATCATGGCTATGAATTTTATTACATTATTATATCAAAGTTGAAATTTGCAGGTGTGATCATTGCACTTTGGCACAAGGCCTTGTTTTCAGGATGCTTGTTGAATTGTTTAGGGATGAAGGATCATATTGTCTGTAATTACAATTATCAAACAGTTCATGGATAGAGAGAGGTATCCACACAGACAGAGCAAATGTAGAAAAACATTAACAACCAGTGAATATAGACAAAGGCATTACAGGCTTTTTGTTGCTCTGCTCCTTTCATCTTTCTGAAGGTATAAATGTTTTAAAAGGGCCGGGGAGATGGCTCAGTGGAATAAGCACTTCCCTGGCAAGCGCAAGGCCCTGAGTTCAATCCCTGGTTC